GGGGGCCTGTTAGCCCTTAAGGGTTGGGGGGCATTAAAAAAAGGTTTTGGGGGTGAAAACAATTTCTGGTTCCCGGGGGAAAAACCCCTTTAAAGGGGGTTTTTTTCCCCCCCCACCCCATTCCCAAGGTTTGGGTAAAGGGGGCCAGTTTCCCGGGGAAAACCCAGGGGGGGTTTTTTGGGCAAACCAAAAAACCTTTTTAACCCTGGGTTTGCCAGGTTTGGGGAAAAGGTTGGGGGCAACGGTTTTCCACCCCCTTTTTCCAAAGGCCAACCCCCGCCCCCCGGGGGGGGGGGGGGGCCCGGGGTTTTTCCCCCCCCCCCCCCCCCCCCCCGCCCCACCTGCGCAGTTTTTTCGATTTTGTTGCTCTCACACAAAAAAATTGTGTTCGCTACCGGGGGGTCCGTCATTTCATTCTGATAACAGCGAGATCCCAAACGGGCTCCGTCGCTTCACTCTGTTTGCAGCTACGTCCTACAAGGCTAGCTGATGTTTGTTCAGCGACAACGCTCACCCACAACTTTGGAGGCCTTGATGCTCGGCAGCTACTGTAGGCCGAGCAGTACGCTGTACCCCCCCCCCGCCCGCCAGCTAGACCATTACAAACGGCAAAGCGGCACATCTAACGGCACATCATGCCTCTGCGCAGGAAGTCACTCAAATTCTAACCTGCGGCCCCACCTTCACACATAAATTTTTTGTTCCATGTTTTTCGTCAAACCACACACTCTCGCCACTCTCCATCGACATTTTTTCATCGCATCTCGACATATTATCCACGGTTTCTCTTCGTTCTTTTCATTCTGCCCCGCCCCTCGACCCCAAGCAAGCGTAATGTTCCTTCCGCCGAAGCGTGTTGTCTCCTTCTGCCGCCGAAACAGCAACGAAGAACGCCACATCATACACTCAAAACCCCTCTCTCCCTTCCCGCCCGACTCCCTCTCGAAGCGGCGCAATTCATACGTACGTCCACGGGCCAACAAGATAGACTTTTATCCCTCCCTCCCGCACTCGCCTACAACAGGTTCTCTCTTCGTTCCGCCTCCCCGGCCAAACCAATCCCCCCGCACCCCGCAGCACTAAGGCCAGATTTGCGGAAAGCCGACATCCTCCGCCCCCACTCTTGGCACGCAGGGCCGCTCGAGTTATTGGGTGATCGAAAAGGCTCCCCACTCAAGCTGGCTTCCATCGGTGATGGTCGGCTGTCGCCCCTCGTCAATCTCCACGACCACGCACCGACAAGAACACTGGTTTCACACACACACACACACATACATACACACCCTGAGAATTTTCTCGCCGCATTACACTCAGTCACACCCACGAAGACGCAGAGAACGGAGGGGGGTTCGGGCTCTTGGCCTGAGACGGCGGGTTTTCTGGGGTCCCCCACCCGGAGGCGTTTCCGGCGACTGGCGCGAGCTCTCCACCGTCCCCGCCGGCCACCGCCCGGTCCTTTCCCGTCCGGCCGCCGCCCTTACCACCGCCCCGCCCTTCGCCCTTGAACCGGTGTACCGTCCACTTGGACGCGGGGCTGATGGAAGCTCGAGCGAAGGCCGTGCTGCACTTGCTGTGGTTGTTGTTGTTGTTGTTGTTGTTGTTGTTGCCGGAGGGTCTGGAGCTATTCCACTGGTTGTTGTTGTCGTCGTCGGCGTTTTTCCTCGTCGGCAGCTTCTCCGTAGCCGGCCTTCGGTACTCCTGGACCTGCTCATAGAGGTGCTGCTGCTCGGGGTGGTGGTTCTTGTGCTGATACTGGCTGCCGCTGCTGCCAAAAATGTTGGTGGGGGCCACACGCGCGCCGTCGCCGCCACCCTGCTTTGTGACCCTCTGCGGGTCGGCTACACCCCACCCCGCCGCCATCTGGCTGGCTTGCACCCCGCCGCCTCCCCGGCCGCCGCCGCCCTCTGCCACCTCC